CGACCAAACAGTCATAAACACGAAGGACCTGTTCGAAACGATCGCGAGCTGTCGTTCCGACGGCGATCGCCGTAGACACGATAAAACCTGTCCAGCACACGCGACAGTGGCAATATTTCTCAGAACCCAGGCGATCCAACGTTACGGCTTCTGTCCCTACAATAAAAGCGAACACTCGGTTTCCTGGAGATTTACATTCGGCAGACAATGTTTTCTACTGGTAAATTATTAGAAACGCTTGAACGGTTTGTCTAGGTACAGTTCTGATTGTTCCATTGGCATCATCTATTTCCCAACGTTTGTTCGAAAAATTTGGAAAAATATTAATTATTCGTGAAATATTATTACCTTCAAAAATTAAAATTATTTAGTTACAGTTTCTGAATAGTTTTTAAATTCTAAGATAAAATATAGTGCAAGCATTAATTATATGAAGCAGTATACGAACAGTAAAAAATATATTATTTTCCTGTTATAGTTATAACTTAATTAATTATTAATATACCATTGATCACAAAATAATTCCAGCAAATAAAATCTTTAAAAAGCCTTTGAAACAAACACAATGGAACAAGAGGTTTATGAAGAAATCTTTTTCCAAAGATTTATAAAAATATTCTAATATTGTAAATCTTTATGACAAATTTTATTTAACATAATAGCCTGATTAGAGGGACTATTAGCAGTAAGAATATTTTAATTCGTCAATTTGATACCGGGATAACCAACTTTTATACACACAAAGCGTGTCGACGCTGAGTTGACAAAGTTAATGCCATAACAAATTGGATAGGATAATCCCATCAAATTCTTTGTTTTATGCCGGCCCGATCGCTTCGTATCTCGTCATCGTTTTGTTCTATCCGCGCAACGTGTTCCACCGGTCGATCAACTGCGCATTCGCTTTTGTCTTTTGTGCCTCGCTCCGCGTTCCTACGCATCAATTACGCGCGTCGTTTTATATCGCGCGTACCGGCATGCTCCTTTAATTTCAGCGAGTCGCGAACGATCCTCGATCATTCAAATTCCAACTCCGAGCGAGCTGGAATTGTAATTTCCTGCAAACAATCGTGATCTGTTGATTCATGGCTGCGCAAAGCGAACTTCTTCACTGTTACTGTTTGTTTTCAGCAACTAAAATATTCAACGACGATTCGAAAATATGACAGAGATCAATGAAAAGCGGTTTACTTACTGCGAAAATTGTCTAAACATGTTCGAGTGCTTATAATACTTTACACGCTGTATTTAATAATTAAGAATGAAAAATAACATTGAAATTACAGAATTATACGATAATTAGAATTATGGTTATGATTATTATACTAATGTAGAACGTATTCATGTTTTAGAAATATATTTTGTTTTATTTGGAAGAGTCTGTAGAGTTGTTTGCAAGAAAAATGTTTGTTTAGTTTCCATGGATGTGTAAATGATTTTTAATGGGAGATTAAATAATTAAATGATTAAGATGGATATATATGGGAATTATTGATGTACAGAGGTAGTGTAAGAAGTTGATGTTTGTTGGAACATTGTTTGAAAGTGGAATGGGCCAATCACGATCAGACATTGAATAGCTCTGGATTTCCTGTCATTGTTCGATAATCCTCGAGGCCTGATCGTGTAAAAGTCTGCTCAATTATTCGTAAGTGGAATAAGTGTGAGAGGATGATTAGATTATACTGTATGTTATACACATCAGATTGTGTGTCGTGGAATGCCTTCAGCAAATAGGTGTTTACTTCTATTAAATTTAGAAGAGTTAATAAACGATAACGTCTACAAAATATGAACCTTGGTATTACATAAAGTATGTAAAATAATATATATTATATAAAGCAGTCTGTGAAGATGATCATTCGTTTACATTCTATCGAGTTATCATTTCTGGAGAAACGATAAGAAGTGAAATAAGACAGAACATGTCAGACAATGCTTTTTACAATCTTGAATGTCAACTGCAGTCATTTTAAAATAAATATGTTTAATTACTGTAAAAATATTCTCCAGTAGAATAAGCCAGACATAGTAAGACAATACAAAGTCCATACAAAACCATTCTATCTCAACAAAAAATCCACTAAATTACATTTATTTTTACACTGTTCTCATTTGAAAACAGAGATATTCGAAATCACTGTAAAAATATTCTCAAGTGGAATAAACCAACCATAGTAAAACCAGACAAATTCCATATAAAAACATTCTATCTCAACAAAAAATCCACTAAATTACATTTATTTTTACACTGTTCTCATTTGAAAACAGAGATATTCGAAATCACTGTAAAAATATTCTCAAGTGGAATAAACCAACCATGGTAAGACAATACAAATTCCATTCAAAAACATTCTATCTGAACAAGAAATCCATTAGATTACATTTATCTTTACACTGTTCTCATTTGAAAACAGAAATATTCTAAATTTGTGTAAAAATGTTTCTAAATAGAATAAGCCGACCACAGTAAGACAACACGAATCCCTGAAAAAGGCACTCTCCCTCAACAGTTTTCCTCTCAACAGAAATCCACCGTACCGCACTAGTCTCGTTCGTCTTCCCTTTCATTTCCATAAGTCCCCCACATATGCACTATCCAATTCAGCCCAGAACAAACCACGGCGAACCTGACTGAAGGCAGCATAGCCTACCGAGTTGGAAGGAAACCAAGCCACGGGCCAACAATTTCCGAAAACTCTTACTGGACTTTGTTTTAAGATCAGGAACCAGTCAGCCCCAAGAAAAACAGCAGTTTCACGCCGCCTTCCTCGGCCAATATAAATCACCTGGCGCAGCCAGCTATTACGTGCTGCGAACAGGTATTGCGAGGTAACGCTGGACATATTGCACCGGGGGGCGAAAAGTTTTCCCCGGGAGAGGGTAATGGTGAGAAGAAGCTTCATGGATTGAACGATTTTAGACGAGCTGAGCTCCTATGAAATGGCCATTAACCTCTTGAGAGGTGGTTTATATCCAAATTTTAAATCGGTGAAAATGTTCAAACCAAAATGGAAAGGAAATGGAGTGAATCTTTCTCGGAAATTCTATCTTGAAGATGATCCTTGGGGGATTTGATCGTCATTAACCACTTGAAGCTCGATTCGTGTCGAAATGTTATGTCGATAAAAATGCTGAAACGAAACGGAAGGAAAATGAAATGGTCTGTCTAGAAATGTTTACCTTGGAGCTGAGTTTTAGAGGTTAAATGATTAAAAATATTAGAATTAAGAAAAAACTAAAATATGGGAAATATTTATTAGAATTTCTATCTAACTAATCCTTGGGTGGTTAGATCTCTATTAACACCTTGACACTAAAACTAGTAGTCGAATTGATGTTTTCAAATTTTTCTATAAAAAAGAGTGCAGCTATTGAGACTTCAATTGACTTATGATTTCGTTTGCACATTACTAAATCAATTTTAATTCCTCAGAGAAGCATCTGTTACATTGTTAGCAATTAGGAAAGAAGAATATAAGAATGGGTCAATTTAACCAGTTCTCTCAGAACTAAACAAAAATGAAAAGAATCTCGATGTAAATTTCTATTTTGAATATAATCCTTAAAGATTTGGGTCCTCGTCGACACCTTAACATTGCGTTAACGACAGAATTCTAAACGAACGGAAGTATTAAATCGGAAATGAAACAGTAGCCGAGAGAACCTCTACAACTTCCATCGTCAAGCTGATTCTCAAAGAGTTACACCTTCATAGTTACAAAGACACTCCTAACTTGGAAAATTCCTGCCTCAGCGACGAAAACTTCAAAAAGTCTCTTTCAGCGGGGTATATTCATCTCGAACAATGAGGCAATATCGTCCAATCAAGCCATCAATAAAACTGGAAAACAAAGAACAATGGAAAACAATAACCGTCCGGTGGAACAGAGGTAATCTTGAGCTGCTGCCTGTTTCGTTTCGCATTCCACTTTATGTTCCTGACAGAAAGCTGCTTAAAATGGCCATCGAACGAGCGCAGACAGTCCCTCAGAAATGGATTTCTACGCGGCGACGACGTCGGCGACGGTATGCAGCGGCTTTCATCTCCACCGAATCAATTTAAAGGGAGAGAACCGTTCCGCGGAGTGTTCTTTGCCCGAGAAAAGGCGGTCAGAAGTACAACTTCTATTCCAATTTTTCACAATTTCCCAGGCAACGGCAATCTTCAACGAGCTTCGACCCTTTTCACGGGCATTAGTCCCCCACCCGCCGTTCGAAATTAATTTCGCCCTCGGTTTTCCTCCGGGTCTCGTCCTGAACTTTGTTTCGTAACAACCCACCAAGATTCATAATCCCTTCTGAAGCATAAAACCGTAAGAAACGAGGCGAGTGCAGTCTAGAAAAACTCCTGAATCCCTTGGATGTTTCCAGAGGACATGCATGTACCTTGCTTCGCAGATTTTAGCGTCCCTCAACAGTCTTCCCTCATTGTTCACTCTGAAAGGAAGATCAACTGGTGTCTGAAATCCTACAACAGTGTTAGCCCGTCAGGGATGCATCCTCGTAACATATCATCCCACCTAAATCCAGCTGCGTCCAACACAACATCGAAATGAAGATCAACTGGTGTCCCAGAGTCTTCGACCAACCTAGAGATCGTTCACTGCTAAGATCCCCGAAGCGACTATACCAAGATCCACCTAGCTCAGAACACCTCCATTCATCAGAAACGTCCAAACTATAGGAGCTCGAGGAGACCCCCGAAGTGTCGAAAATAAATGACCAAAGAACGCGAGGCAAACTCAACACTCTCTATCTTAGGGTCCACATACTTAGCTACCTATCCTAGAGTCCACACACTTAGCTACCTTGAACCTTCCTCTACTTCAGACATTCAAACTCCCATCGATCGGTGAAAGGACAGGACATGGCAGGACTAGATAACCACCTAGCGCAACGTGTCTTTAAGCAACAAGCCTAAAGACAGACGAAAACTCACTCTAGATCATCCTGCCTCCATCCCCTAACGGAAAACATTAAAGACATTAAAGACTTACCTGTCCAGTTGCAACCGGTGTTCGCGATCCGGGTTCCTCCCCTCGGCCCTGGCACAGAGAATCACAGTTCACGGTGAAACGTTACTAAAACTACTCGCGGCCGGTCATCGAGCCGACCCTTTCGTTCCCAGGCCCCGATATCCGGTGTCACACAATCCAGCCGTGTACGAGCCGCGTCCCGTGGTCTCTACGCGTGTAAACGCGACCGCCCGTCGCACCACCAAGGTCCCAGCGATATCTCAATTAGACCCGCACGACATCGCCGCCCTGCGTCCACTTTCTCTCCCCCTTTTCCGGCAACCTGGTTCCGAGCGAGTTCGCCAGCCCCGTGTCCACGGCCGTCGCGAGCCTATCCTCTTTAGCTACCTCCGGTGATCCTCCTACGGCTAGCTGACCTCTGATCCTCTAATGTTCTTCTATTTATTCTTCTACCCTTAGGCAATAATGATATGTATCCTCGACAAGGGAAGCGTTTCTGGATTCTCCACCTTCCACCTGGCTGAACGAAGTTTCCTCTCCTTCCGTTGGACACTTTAGGGGTGGATTCTCCTTGCCCCTCTTCGTTTCCCGTGTTTCCTCTTGTTTTCTCCGCTTTTTACTTGTACTTCATCGTGTACGCACCCGGCCCAGCTCGAACCACGTTCTAAACTAAAATTCCGGCACACACGACTCGCTCTCTCGCTCTCTCGCTCGCTTTCGCTCGTTCGTACGTTCTCTCGCGCGCGCTCGCTCTTACGACACACACGGCTCCCGGTGCTGCTGGCCAGAGTCACATTTTAGTGCGACACACACGGGTGCCGTGGGGTTACACTCTCTCGCCTCTCTCTCTCCCTTCTCTCTGGC